CCCAACGGCAAGCCTCACTCGGATTGCCGTCTACCGAGTACCGCAAAAAACGTGGTCCAGCCATGGGGACTCTCTTGAAACCTGAGGCCGTTCGCCCTTGCATCATGTAATCATGACGGGGAGTTATCCCGGTTCACGCTAACGTGTGTACTGTTCCCTACCTACATCATCTTGCCCCAAACCCAAACCCCAGGGACCCGGTTGAGCAAAACCGGATCCGCTCCTACAGGTGGGAAAAATGGTCTGACTGACGAACTAACCACATACAAGCAGCTGGATGCGCATCTCGACCACTCCAAGCAGCCAGCCGGGCTCGTCTCGGTCCAGAGGCTCTGCTGCTCCCCATGCAACAGCGAGATCGGAAACAGTGGCGGTGAGGCTTCGGGCCGTTCCTTTCATGGTCGGTTTGCGCGGCCCGTCTTCGAGATCAGTGCTCGCCATGCGAACCGTTTGTTCCAGGGGCCATTGCTCGCTCACCTCCAACGCAAGGAAGATCACGGCCCTGTTGGTACCTATTAGCCGAGCAAGACCCCGTCGAGCTTGCGGACGCATGCATGCCCCCCTGCAGTGACAGTCAGGAAAAGGGAATTCGATCGAACGAACCACGTCGCCGTGATCGCGACGCTTAGCTGGCTTTCAGGAAAGGGAATTTGATCGAGCGAATTACGTCGAGGGGATCTGCTTCTGGGTATTCTCCGGCTGCTTTGGAATAGGAGGCTGGTTGAGCTGTGCCGCATCGGGTTTGAAATCAATCGTGCATCTTCTCTTACATGTTTTGTGCCGGGTAAACTCATGAGACCTGACTTGTTTGCTAAAGTAGATGAGAGTGCGGATGTTTTGGCACACTGCTGGGTTCTTGTACTGCGTTTTGACGCGGCTTGCAAAAGCGCGCAAAGTGTCACATTTAAGAAGAGAACACAGGGGAAACCTGAACGTAGCTTAGTGACATCTGTTGTCATGGTATTCGAGTTCCACTAACACACACGTGGCTTTATGGATTTCAGCTCATGGCTTGGATCCATATTACAAATTCACACAACCATCTTGGTTTGTGGTTGGAATTGGACATCGGTGGATGAGATATGAGTTGGCAGCGCAGTCAATGCCCGGTGGGAGGGACGCGGGTTGCAAGCTGTTCTACCACGTCCTTTCGCCTCTTCTCAGCATTGTCATTCATGTACAGTCCATTCGTGGTTGACGTAAATCAATTGTTGTCCCTTCGCGATTCTGCAAGCTGCGGCGAAACGCAATACTTGAACTTTGGGGGGTTGCCGTGAATAAACGTACATCCTACTGTTCGTCTAAGTGACAATTCAGGCAATCGGACCCAAAGTATCTGTTCTCTTGCATAGTTCAAACAAAGCGGAAGATGACACTCATCTTCGGTCGTGGATTTAGAGTTGGTTGGCAGTATTTGGAGGCCGTCGACATGGCGGCTCCATCACGCGGCATTTTCGTGCTAAGGAACGTTCGATGGCCTCTATAACGCGGGGTATGAGATGTGCAGTCTACGATTGGATATCCAGGTCCAGCGAGCCAGATGGGCGTAAGCTGTATAGTGCTCAGCATGTGTGACTGCTCTAAGAAATGCATAGCAACAGAACGCCAGCTCTGTCGTTGGCTAGGTACTGTGTACCATAGGGACCTGTGGTGTTGGTCATTGTGCCTGGGTATGACGCAAAGCAGTAGCCACTTTGAAGCTGTGTGTGTCTTCCCTAATCGTACTCACGGTCGGTCGAAAGGAGAGAAGGTTGTGGTGTTCCACGAGATGTGGTGCACGAGATCGGTTCCACAAAGCGCCCCTCCCGCCGCCAGATCGCGTGTAAGCGCTAGTTAGTCTTCCGTCACAACTATTTATCTTTCTTTCCGAATAACTGATTTCTGTCTCGCACCTCTCGCCATGAACGAGTCTATGATTACATACTGGAACGCACGCAAGAAGTTGCATCGCACTACGGTGCAATGCTCGTCCTTACTCTTAACTAATCGGCCGGATGCCTCGGCTGTCGTCATAACACGAGCTATCTCGCAAGCCCCTAGCCGTTCCAAATCGCGGCAGAACAATGTCAACGCCTACGTCGCTGCTATATAGCCTTTGATCTCCCGAGATCTTTCTCAGACGTCGCTTCTGTTGCAGTTCTTCTTAGTCCGCATCTATACATTCCACGTCTAGTCGAAGCAGCCATGGCCCCAAGTGCGCAATTCAACCCCGCGGCGGATATACCCAGTTTGGCGGGCAAGGTCATTCTGGTAACAGGAGGTGTGTGACTCTCCTCCTCTGCGCGCATATTAACCTGGAACTGATGTGCGATACAGGTAATACCGGTCTCGGAAAGCAGACGATTGCCTACCTCGCTGCGCATTCGCCGACGCGCATATACCTGGCTGCGCGCACCGCCTCCAAAGCCGAATCCGCTATCGCCGATATACAACGCGAAGTTCCTTCTGCTGTGATCGAGTATCTTCCGCTAGACCTCACTTCATTCTCCTCCATCGCGGAAGCAGCCTCTGCATTCAAGTCGCGTGAGCAACGGCTTGACATTCTGGTCAACAACGCGGGCATCATGATGACGCCTTTCAGCCTCACCAAGGAAGGATACGAGATTCAATTCGGCACAAACCACGTAGGACATGCGCTGTTCACCAAACTACTCATGCCGGTGCTGCTTCAGACCGCTGAGCAGCCGGGTGCCGACGTCAGGATCGTCAATGTGTCGAGCATGGGTATGATGCTCGCGCCGAGCGGCGGTATCATCTTCAACCAGGCGGACTTGGAGAAGGAGTATACCTGGCGACGTTACGGACAGTCGAAGCTGGCCAATATTCTGTTCACCCAGGAACTCAGCGCACGGTATCCTCAAATCACATCCGTGGCTGTTCATCCTGGAGTCATAATAACGGACTTGTACAACGCCTTTGTGTCCGGGCCTATCTTGAAGGGTATTTTCTGGTTCTACCAGCAGCTTGTGCCGATTCTACCCGGACATTTTAAGGACACAAAAGGTGGAGCATTGAGCCAAACGCATCTAGCGACGGCGGACAAGTCGACGATCCAGAATGGTGAGTTCTACAGGCCGGTGGGCATAGTGACGAAAGGTTCGAGTTACAGCCAAGACCTGGGCTTGGCTCGGAAGCTTTGGGAATGGACCGAAGAGGAGTTTGGAAAACATGGTTATTGAGATGCTAGGTCACGGTGAATCATACCTTACAGCAATCTCTCTGCACTGCGTGCTTGCTATACCATACTTACATGATCACTAATCAATCAGTGGCTTGAGACCCCGTGATTTCACACGTCTGGCTAGCTGCACTTCAGAACTCACCGTCTCTCGCATTTTCATACGCTTCAGCGCCGAGCATAACGCCGAACCGTCACCTCTTCAGCGGACATCTGAATCTCAAGATCTGAGTCCTGCGCTAGCAGACATTGCCGTTCTCAGTTAGACCTACGGGGCTGTACGTCCTATCCACCTTCGAGGAGGCATTGTCTTCCGAAAAGCAACATGACATTTGCACAGTGCTCTGCTCGTAAAACCCTATTTCCTTTATCCTAAATCCCAAGGACCGCTCTCGCTAGTATTGGTTGCTCTTTTGGGTCGCTGAGTGTGTAGCAGGGGCACGTCGTGTAACCAGATAACCTTCGTAAGCAGAAATCTCGGATTTAGGGTGGTAATAGTTCAGATGTTGCATCAGTACAGAAGTATGAACTATAAAGAAGATGGACAAGTACACCGCGAATCGATACGCACATCTCAAAATAAGTTGGAAGACCGTTTTTCTCTGAAACCACAATACTCTTCCTCAGGCCTTCTCATGGCCACCACCTTCACTGACATCTCCCTAGCCGCCTCCGTCCGGCCAATCCACCGATTCCCGAACCCTACCTGGGTAGAGAACATCGCCTCGACGCGAAATGGATTGCTCCTTGTCGGGATCCTCGGCCAGGCCCCAGCCCAGCTGCACATCCTCGACCCCTTCTCCCACGCCACGCAAGACACCCTCCTCCACACCTTCACCCCCTCCAACTCCATCTTCGGCATCACCGAATACGAAACCGACGTCTTCGCCGTCGCAGCCGGCAACTCCAGCTCCACGACCGCCAACGGCACCAGCGACGCAAACATCTCGACTCTCGACCTGCGCCGCGGGACGACCAAGTCCAGCATCAAAGTGCGCAAGCTCGCGCACCTGCCCGACGCCCAGACCAACCGCCGTTCCGTCGTCCAGGGACACACCGGCGCTGTACTTTTCTAATCTGCAGCTGGAAACTGTGTACCGAGTGGCGATTGACGGACGCACAGGTCGTCCCCGGGGGCGCGTGATGGCGCTGGCGACCGGCCTCAGCGTCGTCGATGACGACCTCGCTGTGACGGATGAGGGGACCGTGTTTGTGACGCGGGATGCGGCGGGCGATGTTGTGCGGATTAGTGGGCGGGGCGAGGTGGTTGTGTTGGGGGGTGGGAATGCGACGGTTTTGGGGCCGACGGCGGCGGCGCTGGGGAGGACGTACCGTGATAGAGGGGTGCTGTATGTGAGTGCTATGGGTGGGCAGCAGGCGGATGGGACGTTTCTTGAGGGAGGGAGGGTCGTGGCTGTTGATTTGAATGCGTGAGGTGGGTGGTGGATGGATTGGTTAGATGCACGATGTTGTACTGGACATGATTTGATTTGGTACTTTGGTTGGTTCACGCTCGTTAAATCACTGTTTGTAAGTAGTGCAGATGTTGTATTGCTTTCTTTAGGTGTTCCCATTGAAAACTGTATATGCGAAGAAATATGGGTAGGTCCACTCCTAACGCCGGAAGCGAGGCTAGATTCTTAAGGCTACGTGGCAAATACTCCTCTTTCCAACGACATCGGCATTACCACCTAAAGAATTAGCTGTAAAGTTCTCGTCTTCTAACCATGAAACAGTTCCCTACAATCATACACAATTGTCTTCCTCGTACCTGCGTATATGTATTTTCCTTTTCGGAAAAATTTCCCAATTCAACACCTCCGCGGCGGTAGCTCAGTGGTAGAGCAGCGGGCTGCAGTCACCAAACTTGTGGTTCCTGAAGGTCACCAGTTCAATTCTGGTTCGCCGCTTCCTTCGAATTCTTTTTTTCTTTTGCCCATTCCCCCCTTCCATGCGCGCCTCACTAACAGCTCAGACCTCAACCTCTCTCTCGCTCAATTCAAGATGTTATTTTGCTTTTTCTTTTGAGCATTTATCATGTCTGTTATATCACTGCCTTCACACACTGGCTCAATATCCTAGCGTACTCATTTACTTGTTGAGTCTCTGTTACCACTACTCTACACCACCCTCATCCCCTCATGTCATTTCTCCTCTTCAAGCCCCCTGTCCCAATACCCACGAGCACCGCCCCTAACGTTGTGAACTTGAAAATCGTCTCGTACTGTTCCCACTTTATACTACGGCTGTACGGCTGGCGCGATACGCGGAGGAAGGCGGCGCCGGTGATGCAGGCGTAGGCTGTGATGAGGAGGGGGTAGCGGTAGCGAATCAGTAACCCGGGTGAAGGGGTGTCCATGCTTTGTGTGAAGAAGATGGTGGACTAGGGTTCAGGTATCGTCGGAGGAAAAGTTTGCAGTCTGCAGTGTCGAGTTTAAAGAGAGTGTGGATTGCAGACTGAGCGTGCGAGATCGATGACGCCATTGGGAAGTCATGACTACCAAACTCTTTGCAGTGAAAATGGTATCTTATTTCATGAATATCGAAACGTCCTCGTGCCGCGCCGTCCTGCCTCTCCTACACTAATTCCGCCCCCGCCCTCGCCCGCCACCCCTTGCCCTCTGTCCGCCCCAGCCCCTCATCCTCGGACTCCTGTTCCCCTTGTCGACCCGGCCACCGCCCTGTCCACCACCCCTCGCTTTATCAACGCCTAGCCCTCTCCTTTGATTATGTGCGCCGCCCCGGCCTCGGCCCATGCCACTTCCGGACTTCGCACGCCTATCTTCTTTCTCGTCATCGCTGTCAACATCCATGTCATCGTTGCCCTTGTTCTGCTTGTTGCTGAACTTGAGCTTGCCTTTCTGTCCGCGCTGCGCGGAGTCACGACCACGGATAGCATCGACGTAAGCATTGATGCCAGCCTCGAGAGAAACGCCTTCCTCATCGACATCCATAAGCACGTCGCCTTCATCGTCGGCCGCTTGACGCTTGCTTCCCTTCTTCCGCGCGCTTGTCTCGCCCTCGGAATCCGAGTCGCCTAGAATGAGCTTGCCGTCTTCGTTCGTGCGCGCCTTGGTCTTTTTCTGTGGTGGCTCCTTCTTCCGAAGAGGCTTGGTCGAGGAGATGTTTCCGAGTGCACGTTTAGATAGCAGATCCAGGGGCTCGTCTTCGTCTTCGACAATGTAGGTCTCGCCGCGCTTGGCCTTGCCTTGTTGCTGCTTGCTTTGCGTCTTGATGAATTCGTCCTCTGAGTTGCCGTCTTCTTCTTCGCTTTCGCTGCCGTACACAGCTTGGTCGTACTCGCTCTCAAACCTGCCCTTCGGCTTTTCTTCAACCTCTTCCCCGTCTTCAGCTGCTTGTAGCTTCTTCTTTTTACGGTGCTCGCGCGTCTTTCGGATGTTTGTGATGAGTTTCCGGTCTTCTGCTGGGCAGGCGCGCTCGACTTCCTCTATGCCGAACTTGCGGATCATACGTTCGACAATGTGCTTCACCTTGGCTTTGAAGTGTGCCTTGTGTTCGTGACTCCAGACCAGGAGATGGGTAAGCAACGTATTGAGACGAGGCTTGACAAGTGACTCTGGCAACGTGATAACCTCCACCTTTACGAAGCCGAGTACGCTCTGAACGATCTCGCGGTTGGGATTTTGCAAGAACATGTCCATGATTTCTACAAGATTCTGTATCGCCTCTTTCGAGACCCGGTCGTGGAACTCGAACAGTATGCGGGTAACAGCCGTGATCGAGGCGGAGATCATGTGCGGGGTGGACGCTGCGAGACCAGCTGATACCATGGTGAAGTACTCATCTAGAGACGCTTCGACTGATGGCGCATCCGCGGGCATGTTAGGAACCTTGTTCTGTAGGACCATTCCACCCAAGGCCATCTTTTCACCCATTGCCACAAGCAACTCATAGGCCGCTTCTCTGGCTTTTTCGTTGACCTCCTTGGTTGCGATGACGACTTCGGAAAGGACAGATGGAATGAAGTGAAGATCAGTCTGGGGAAGATATTCTAGAATCTGGTGTAGAGCGAGCAATCGGTCTCTACGCGTAGGGCCGGTAGCGTGCTCCGCGCCTTGCAAAAGCAATTGCTGGAGCTCTCCGGTTCGATCCTGCAATGCTGATTTACCAATCTCTGATTCTCCAAGCCTTGGGATCATCTTGTAAGCCTTCTTCTGCAGTTGCGGGTCTTCCTTTCTGTTGATCATGATGGAAGCCATCTTGAAGAGAGCGGGATAGCTATCGCGCGGAAGGTATGGCGCGATGGTGATGATAAGATCCATAAGGGTATGGCTCATCGGCGGCATTTTGTCCTGCTTCTTGCCCTGCTTCTGCTTGTCTGCTTGCGTTTGCGACCCCTCTGCTGGCACAGCTGCTTCAAGACTGGTGGCCACTCGCTCAAAGGTCTCCATGAGCTCCTGTGAGCTTGTTAGTGACCGAAACAGGCATTGGGAATTAGGGGTTGACTCACTTTCGCCGGGATAATGCTCAAATACGCATTGATCGTTCTGAGGATCGTACCCCGATATTGTGGCAGCGTCTGGCTGTAGACGTTGAACAACACGGCAAGCATGTTGCTCGCGAAGCTAGCTAGATGCTCCAAGTTCTTTTGAGCATGTGCTTTGGATATCCGCGCCTGGGTAACAAGGTCCTCCTCGCCTTCGAGTTCTACGATAGCTTTGTTGCCATCGACAAGGTTCTGCAAAGCTCTGCAGACATCCGTTCGCAGGTCTGCTTGGCTATATAGCAAATTCGCCAACATCTCAGCAAGGCCCTGGTCGAACGCTTCGACAAGATCCAGTGGCAGGTCGCAGTAGCCGGGCAGGATCGACCAAATTTGCTGAACAACGGTTTCGAAGACCTTGATCTCCATCGTCTTCTCTTGGTTTCCGTGGTCTATGACCTTCTGGAACATGTGCTCGCTGAGTGGCACCATCTCTTGCCTGAAATGAGCAAGTTTGGTGTTGTGCACCGAATCGCGGAGGAGAGGCAGCATCCAGACTCTGCCCGTTTGGCCTGGCGGCGGTTTCGGTAGGTTCAGCGGAAGAATCTCCAAGACGGCTTCCGGACCCATAGCCCCAATCGCCTTGGAAATAACAGTATCCGCCTCTTTTTTTCCTGCGAAAGAATCATTGCTCCTCAATTCCCCAACAGTCCTCAGCACAGGCTTGAGAATGGGATCCGAGCGCCAGCGAAGCGCATCGAACATAGCGCCCAGTGTGTTGAAAACCTCCATCCAGGCAGCCTGATACTTGACGCTCAACAAATTCTGCGCCGCCTGTGCCAGCTTTTCCAAAATCTTCTCGTCGTAAATCGAAGGCTCCAAAATAACGCTGTCGGGTATAATGTTGGCAAAGAAAGAAATCAAACACTCAGAAGCGGAAATGCGGATGTTGTGAGACGGCGACTCGAGGAAGGAAGCTACCATTTTGAAGAGCTCGGGGAGCTTTGCGAATGTGTCTTCGGGCTCAATCGCAGCTGAAACCTCGTATCCTCGTGATATGACGGCGATCCATGGGGGAAGCAATTGCGTGTCGGTCTTGGAGGGCTGGAGGTCAGAGATGACTTCAAGGAGGCGGGGAAGCTTCGCCGAAGAGACCTCGTCGGTCATACCCGCGAAGATCAATTCGAAAATCTCAAAAGCGGCCATGGTAAGATACTCGCTACTAGAGCGTGAGATGTTCAGAAGGAGCTCGCACAGGACATCAATCTTCCTGCTTGGCCAGCCACCAGACGTGTTTGCGATGGTCTTGATCAGTTGCAACGCATGCATGAGATCGGGCTCTTTGTTCTGCTCGACAGCCTGTCGCTTCTTCTGATTCGCCGACCGACCCGCTGCTTGAGCAATGTCCTTCAGCATCTTGAGCGCCGTCTCTGCGCACATGTCGGCAGCAGGGTGGTCCAGCGACGGGCTTGGGGGTGCATTGTTCAGGACTTTGGCAAGCGCATCCTGGGCCCTCTTCCTCACTTTCGGTCTGTGGTCCACGGCGATTTGCAGCAGGCCACCGACAGCAGCTCGCGGTCCAGCCTGCGACGCTGGCAACTCCCACGCTCGCGCATCTTGTGCGATGAGCAACGACTCAAGACATCCTATGGCAGACCTGAGGAGCGGAGCCTCGGCGTCTGGGTGTGTAAGAGCCGGTGCAAGGCTCGGCAGGATTCCTGCGAATTTGGATCGCAGCAGCGGCGCTGGGACGTGAGGGGTGACTAGATCGAGTAGGTAGATGACGGATGTCGCCGTTTCTTTGTTCGCTATGCCGTCGCTGGATACCTGGCGGACTAGGAGCGCAAGAAGCGCGGCAAAATATGCGGTTGGCGTGGGCTCCGAGTTCTGCTGCTTGAGCGTGTCCTCGATGGCTGCGAGAACCACTGCATTCTACAAAACTTAGCGAATTCCTGCACATTTGGAATGTTTTCATACCTGGTACTGAGTGGAGCCCTTGGGCGAGTCCCGCACCTTGACCAGTCTCTCCTCAAGTGACATGGCGTGCAGTATGGCGAGTGTTGATGCGCCGTATCCGCGCGGGCGAACTTTTTTGCCCACAGAAATTCTGCCAGCTCGGACCGCCTCCCCGCAATAATCGATAAGCGTCAGGCCGTCCTTGGCGGCGGCGACCTTCCAATGGCCGACCTATCATTCATGTTCACGTTCACTTTCACATCTATATTCACCTTCACCTTCACCATCACCATCACCATCACCATCACCATCACCATCACACTCTCTAGTCGCACAGCCCTCGAAGCATCATCTGTTCTTATGCAACTTCTCCGCTAGAACATTGGGTATACCACAAAAGTCTCGGCGGCACACGCCGGCCTAAACATAAAACATAAAATCTGCAAGCACCTTCCACCCACTCCACGCTCAAATCGCTACAAATCAAACCCTTGCTGTTCCAAACCCAAG